GCTCCTTATAAAAACACTTGCTATGTTCTGTAGTTTGCCTCCTTTACATGTCTGGCAGAGTATTTCATAGCATGTGCTCTACCTTCTGGGAAAGAAAAGAAAATAAAAGATCCCTATAAGAACTAGTAGCGGGCCTGGTGTTGAATATTAGGGATCCCAGACTGAAAAGCTCTGTCCTTCACATCCTCACCAAGTGAAAATACCTCTACACAAAATCTCTCCACCCGACTTCCCTAAATTCTCTCTCCAGTCAAGTCTCCCAAGGAGCAACACTACCTATCGTGTCAGTAAGCAGTTTGCGATTTAGTTTTGGCACAAATAAAAGCCATTTGAAACAAACATCTCCAACTAAGAAGTACTTTTGAATATGAGTTATTTTCTACTTAGCATCTTACTTGTCATCAGAACATCAGTACAGTGGGTTACTGATAATAACTGCTTCATATTTCTCTGTATTATGATTATGTTGTGCATTCTGTTGTATTTCTCTGAAGAGTACTGATGTTTGTTAGCAGGCATTTAATTTCATTGGACTCAAACTGTAAACTGTCTTGGGCAGCAGCTCAAATCTTAATTCAGTTTTTTTATCTTTAAGTTGGAGTCTTTCCCACACACGTACGGTTCAGGGGTCAGCCAGAGATGCGGGCAGAGTTTATGCACAGAATTTGGGGTTCTCTTTCTTTGGCTCTCTTCCTTCTGAGGATTCTCCCCTCACTTTCAGGAGCGGTGGTTGCTCTGATTCTTCAAACAGCCTATCAGCCTAAAAGCCATAAAAATGGGAACTCATCTTGTGCCATTTCCTTCTTCAAAGTTTTAACCTCTCCAGAGTTCACCTGCTTTTTTGTTTAGTCACCAATGCCTTCAGGCAGTTTTTTTTATTATAATTTTGTCAAGAGTCTATAGTTGTTATCATTGGGAGATCTGTTCACTTCCTGTGAGACATTTAAACTCTACCATACAGGAAAGTGAAACTCTGAGACAGAGACTTAAAATGAAAAAGTGTAGTGGGGGCAGAGGAGCTTAGTCCTATGACAGCCTGCGTTTAGACTCCGGCCTTAATAGCTAAGGAGCCAGTAGCTTCAAGCAGGAAGGAAAAGGAAGAAACAACTTAATTGTTAAATTTGCAGGTGTGGACAGGATAATGAGTACTACTGACCACATCATTCTGACAAGCTCTTCTGAGTCACTTTTTTGCAAATCATCATGTACGTGATGATGATTCCTCCTTTACTTACTGCCATGTTGGAAGAGCTGACAGTTCCTCATCACCCTTGTACTTTCCTCATGAAAACCTGGTATTTAAAGACTGCATGGTTTTGAATTGAGTGACCAGTGCTGCATTAGGAAGGTTTGGATCTTTTCCTGGTTACAACAGCCTTATATTAAACCAAATTATTAGCCTGGACTCATTGAATGGAGATACCAGAATTCTGTGTATCAATGACAAAGCCATTACAAGAGTGTCTTCCCAAGGGTTTCCTGGTCTTACCATTCAAGTCTGGTTTAGTACTGAGCTGAAAGTTCATGCCTGTTGTGAAAGGGCTCTTAGCCCTAATTCTACATTCATGTCCCCAAATGTGAGAGACTGGTTGCTTCCCTCTCTGAGCTTTAGTTTTTTTCTATTATATAGAGCCTAGCCTGTTTCCTGAGTTCCTGCTTAATATCATTGAGGATACCAACAGACTCAGCTTCTGAGGGAGTTGGGGCTTAAAAGAGAAAAAGCACCTGTAAAAATCTTTATTAAAGAGTATTATCATTTAATTCTGAGAATATAATAACTATATTCAATAGGCGGGAAAAGTATTGGATCTAAATGATGCATCTAGAAGAATCTCCTTGGTCTCAATGAGAATAAATTTCCTTATTCAAGGGGTAAGAGACAAGTCCTCTTTGACCATAACCAGCAGCCTGATACTTCATTTGTGCTCCCGGGAGGCCACACAATAGCCAGGATCGATAAACCCAAACAGAACAGATGTTTGGCTTGGGTTTTGATGAATCTTGGAACTTGCTGTAACACCTTAATTTAGAATACAGGCTCTGGGGAATTTTTTAAATGCATTGCCCAGAGGGAAGCACAGAGGAGAATTTGGCTCCATACTTCCTGGTTCCTGGCAGCAGCCGTCCTCAGGAGAACATGGAGGGGTTGCTCCAGGATCCGTGGCAGGACAAAGGCAGACCTGGACAGGTTCTTTGGCTTCAGCTGTCATTGATGTTGTGCATGTTTGAGCACTTGCCCTTTGACAGTGTATTTATTTTAGGTTCTTTATACAAGACAGAATCTCTGACTCAGTACCTGTTCAACTATTCAGCCTTGCTCTCTCCAGTTCAGTTGCTACTTGCTTTCTGCTCTCATCCTTAAATAAGACAATCTTGATTTTGTATCCCCACTACCTTTATAGAGTATGATCTCATGTGAATGGTTCCCTGTTACTATTCCATTCCTCATGCAGCTGCCAATCCTAGGTACTTGCACAGACTATAGTTTGGCTATTGGCATCTCCTAGATATAAAAGAAACCAACTATCTCCTTGGACAGTTTTAGGTAAGATATTCCTGGAAGCTATGATAGTGAAGCTATGATACTGTGTGTTCTTGACTGTTTAAACTGAAGATTTCAAAGATTTTTACAAATCAATGTCACTACACTCAAGGGGAGCATAGCTAGGGTATCCTTTGTGTGAAACTATGTCAATCTGAACAGAGTCCGCACTTTTTAAAAGCAATGTATTGAAGGCTATGGCCACAGCCATTTGACATTTGGGAAGAAAGCCAGGAAGAGAGTTCACTCCTACTGACCTCCTGTCATCTGTAACTGTTCTCTATAACCTTTCCCCTGAGTCAATGTCCCATGGAGTCTATTGTTCCCTAACTGCCTGTGTGGGTAGGTAAAGTGTCATTAACAAAGGAGAAAGCCTCATGTTTGCTCATAACCCAGCTGGGTCTGAGGGCATCTGTGGAGGCTGGGAATGTGCAGTGCTTTGTAGGGAGAGCACAGATAGTTTAGACTGTGGGTGTGCTCAGCAGCCTGAGGAATGCTGGGATTTTGAGTTTCTGGCTATTTTTACCTTCCCTAGTGGATTGCAGCCCCTTGGGATTTCTGGCTCAGCAAAGGGAATGCAGAGGAGTCAGTACAAAAGCAGAAGACCTAGTTCTCAGTTTTGTGTCTCCTTGTCATAGTGCCTGTAGGCAGGTAATGTCCCTGTGTCTCAAATTCTCAAGGGAAAGATCAACAGTACTCACTGAAGATCACTGAAGTCAGATTGAGAACACATGGCCTGATTTTGACTGCTATTCAATGTAAACAGGTCAAATAGTGTTTCAGAGCTCTAATTTCTTCATCAATGGAATGAAATGGTTGGATGTAATCAGGATTTGTAAATAATGTCTGGTTGGGTTTCACATATCTAAATAGGGTAGCTACTAGGCCTTCGCTGATTTTTATTCTGAAGACATAATGTGGCCAGATCTTTGTTTTTTAAGATGAGCAAAATCTATTTTTATGCCATATCTTCAGATTTTTAAATATTAGTTAATTCAAACAGGTAACAAGGGAAGGCAAATAAGACACATGTGGCTACTTTTGGTCTGTGGTCTATTAGTTTACAACTCCTGGACTAGATCTAGAAGGTTCTTTTCTAACCTCAAGATTCTGACTCTGAAAAGGGTTGGTAGGGTGGGTAACCCCGGTCCCCTGTACAGTGCTTTTGAATTCAGTTGCTGCATGTGTCCCAATTCTTTGGAAATGTTTGCTTAGTTGGCTCTCATCTTTGGGCTCAGAAGTAACTTATATGCTGAAGAACAGCAGAGCTGTGATTGTTCATACCTTGGCCCCTCTCAGACTTGGCCTTGAGGATCCAAAGTGGCTCTTGTTTCAACTGGCCTAACCGTCGATCTTGATTTCCTACACTCAGACTCACAGTCTGGTGATGACTCAGCAGGCCACGAATTGAGGTGCCCTGCTTAGGGAGTTTACTGCTGTTTTTCTCCATTGCACCCAAATATTAAGACATCAAGTATGCTCAAGTCTCTGGCTCTCAGTGAGAGAGTGATATCAGGACGTTTGGTGGTCTATAAGAAAGCATGGTGAACTATGAAGTGCTGAATTATTGAAGATGAGCAGACACTGACTTTTTTTAAAACGAGAAGATAGATTGCAAACATATAGATTGATAAATTTGACAAGTCATGAATAAAGTTTTAGACTGGATTGTTTAAAAAGTAATAACTATGTAAGAACCAGACATACCAGACAATTGTTTTTATATGAGAATTGTAATAATAACTAACATTTATTGAGCACTTTCTGTGTACCTGGGGTTTTCCTAAGCACTTTACCTCGTTACTTGATAGTTACCATAAGGTAGGTCCCATCAT